GACGCGTTTCAGAAAGGCGGGGCATAGAGGAGAAACAATGTACAGTATGTGGAAAATGTGTTTTTTTAACCTTAAACCGCATGAACACATTTCATTACACCAAATACACAAAATAATGTTCTTTTTAGCAACATCATATGACCCCTTTAAATAAAAAGTCAAAAGAATAGAAAAACAATAGGGAATGCCAATGTTAGAGGGTCTTTTCTTTAATAATAAATAAAAAGAAAACTAGTAGAATAAAAATAGAATAGAGAGTGCAATTGTTAGAGGGTCAAGTTTTTTTTATTTAAATGAATTTTATTGAAATCATTATTTAAAACAATTTTGATATTAACAAAATTGCACCGCTGTGAAAGAAGGTGTGTAAGCATAATTACGGTGCAATCGTTTACCTCAATTATCTTGTTTTAATTGTTGGAAGCCAAAATTTAAATCGAAAAGAAAAATCTATGAATCGCAAATCCCTAAATTTGTTTAAAAATGAATTTAATAATAGTAATATTTGTTGTTGTTAAAAATGACTTAATTTCTGCAGTTAAATAGTTACATTATATTTGAATATTTATTTTATATTTATTAATTTGTTGTTAATAATTGAAATAATATACGGTTATTTAATTTATTTAATTATCAATGCAATCTAGTTAAAGCTTGCTTTTTATTTTATTTTTTATTTTTTTTGAAAGCCGTATTATTATATAATTATGATTTTGCAGTTAGATGGTTTGGTCATACTGCCCATCCCCAATTTTCGTATGTTTGTTTATTCTTACCAGAACAATGTACAGTTGCTTTCCAAATCCAACGGTTTTGGTTCGTTAGCATTATTTGGGTGTTTTCAATCCCGTGCTTGAACTTTGGTTTAAAAATGATTATGCTATAAAGGCATCAGCGATCTGAAAGGAAATGTGTCATTGTGAGACTTGTCCTGATTTTGCCCTGGTAGCACAGCCAAGGCGCATTCTGCCTTTGTTTTGCTTTTAAGTTTGTGTTTGGTTGTGAGGGAGAATGAATGTCCTCATGCATGCATGAACATGAACAATTTAGCCATTCTCACCCTTTTTTTCGGTTGTTCTGTTCCATTGTCTCTCGCTCACTTTCTTCTCCTCCTTTCTGGATTACGTTCACTCGCACTTACATTTATATTGCTGTTTCCTTCTGCACAGCAGTCATCTCCTCTGTCTGTCCATCTTAGTATTATTCTTTTGTCTTTTCTCTAGAGGGGGCATATTGGTCTATAATACATCTTTGTTTTTTCGTTTCTTACAACGCTCATGCATTTGCTCTTTTTTTTTTTTTCTTTCTTTTTTTTTTTTGCTGCAACAAATTTCTTTACCGTCATCACCCTTCAAGTTCACATAGTTAAGTCAAATTTAACTCAGTCAAATTTTGCCCTCGCTGAAAAAGCTCTTCAGCGTGCTCTGATTTTGCCATAATTTGACATACAGGCTTGAACAAGCTAACTGCCGCGTCATCCCAGCACGCCTTGTATGAGCGTTATTTTGATAGCAGCAGAAACTGTGTTGGAACAGAGATGATGATGGTATGCAGAGCTATTCTCACCTGTATGAAACATATCAGGTGTCCTGCAGTCCGGCAGGAAAGGGGACACCCAGCTATTTTCTCACGCAAACGTCCCTCCAACGCACGAATCATGGGGTTTATCTGTTCTTCCTGAGAATGGCTTATCCTGCCAATAAATTTAATTGGATTTATTTGTTTACTTCATCTAATTTTTTACATTTTTCCCCATTTTGTCTTTCTCAGTGGTGCCGATGACCTGTTGCCCATCCTGGCGTTCGTGGCTTTACGCAGTGAAACGCCTCAGCTGGTGTCTGAATGTGCTGCATTGGAAGAGTTCATTCACGAGGGGTGCGTCTTCAATATAAAGTGCTGTGTAACTTTCCTATTCTCTGCAGTTATGAACCCACACTCTGTACTCTACTGCGCATGTGCCTCCCACTAGGCCATGTCTTGTAATGTTCTTTTGTAAAGTCAATCTCTTTTTACATTTAGATGTTGTTATAAAGAATGAAGTGACCATTAGCATGTGATATCAGTGGCAAGTAACCACAGAAGGGTCAATGGGAAAATATTTTTTAATGCTTTTAAAGAAGTCTCTTATGCTCATGAAGACTACATTTATTTGATCAAAAATACAGTTAAACAGTAATAGTGTGAAATATTACCATTTAAAAGTAACTTTATTTTACTATGTTCTAAAAGGTAATTTAGTCCTGTGATGGCAAATCTTAATTTTCAGCAGCCATTACTCTAGTCTCTAATATGCTGATTTGGAATTCAAAAAATATTACTTATCAATGTTGTGCTGCTTATGATACTTTTGAATGGTAGTTTGTGTATCCAGTTCTTAGCTTTAGACTTGGCATGAAACTATCAGATAAAAAATCAAACACACAAATTGTAAAAGATTGTCCAGTTGATACCTCTATGGCTGAGAGTTAAATGTTATTGTTATAATGGGTTAAAGATCTGCAATTCCAGCCTGACTAAATATTATGCAATAGAAAATGGCATATCTCACTCAGACAGCCTCTAAAACCCATCGACAGTCTGTCAAATTTTTGGCATCACTTGTTGAAAATGTTGGGGTAGATGATGCTGTTTGGAAATTTGGCTTGTCATATCCTTTTAAGTGCCAGTCTCGCTGTCATTTGGGCGTGTATTAAGTATCGACAGAACACGACCTCACTTGTTTCCAATAATCAAAATGCCATCTATTGCACTGTCTCAGATTTTGTGCATAAATATGTCAGCTAGAAAAATACCCTCCAGTCTAAACATGTTGGAATAAACCCATAAGCAAATATTACAGTTCTTATTGGTGATATGAGTTCAACCTTGATGCCATCTTTCATGTTTCTTTTTTTTTTTTTTTGAGCAGAGGATATCACTACAGTGAGATCTCGGTTCGTTTAGGTGACCGCTTGACCTGTTTCCTGAGCGGCGTTATGGGTATTCATGTCACCCCTCCTGCGCTGTACTCTTGCGTGTCTACTCAGACCACAGCCCTGAGCTCTGTTTATCAGTATAAAACTGGACATTTTTACAGGCTGGTTAGATTGGCACTTAACAAGGAATGTTGGGGATATTCTGGTTTGGGTTTTTCTCTCCCTATAAAAATACAAATAAAATCTCTTTAGATGTTTATGCTGCTCGGTGGCTTGGAACTGAGGGTGGAACTCTCTGCAGCGTGTGAGGAAAGCTGTGATAGGAAGTGTACTCATTCTCAGGCACAGTTAACAGGTTTCCTTTCATTTGGACTATATGCATAGACTGATTTAAAGGAATAGCTCGCCAAAAAAAGGCAATTTTGTCATTATTCATGTCGTTCTAAACTTGCTGCTTTTTTTTTTTTACATTGAACACAAAGGGAAACTTTTTTTTTTTTTTCTATTCACCAACTGTTTTGTAGTGGCAGGATTCAAAAGTGTCAAAAGCTACTTAAAAGAATGGTCCATCTCTCAGGCCGTCTGAGATATAAAAATTTGTTTCTTCATCTGAAACAGAAATTTAGCATTGCATCACTTGCTCAACAATGGATCCTCTGCAGTGAATGGGTGCCGTCAGAATGGGATTTCAAACAGCTGATTAAAAACATCACAATAATCCACAAGTGATCCACATGTCTCCAGTCAATCAATTAATGTCTTATGAAGTGAAAAGCTGCGTATCCAAGACATTTTCAACTTCAAACCATTGCTGCTGGCTAAAATAGTCCTTTATCCATAATATTGCTTTTTCCAGTGAAAAAGTAATCTCATCTGAATCGGGAGAGAGATATCAGATCAGGCATGCAGCAGAAGCAACAGTTTAAAGTTAAAACGCATAAATGTGTATGTTTCTTTCAAGCGCACAGCTTTTCACTTCCCAAGATGTTAATTGATGGACTGGAGTCTTGTGGGTTATTGTAATGTTTTCATTCTGATGGCACCCATTCACTGCACTGGTGAGCAAGTGATGTAATGCTGAATTTCTTCAAATCTGTTCTGATAAGGAAACAAATTTATCCACATCTTGGATGGCCTGAGCGCGAGTAAATTTTCAGCAAATGTTCATTTTTAGGTGAACTATCGCTTTAAATCATATGAGAGATGTTTGTTCTTTATACAAATTTAAGCCTTTTATTGATAATCTGCGCTTCAAGCAGGTCTCAAATCAAATATGACTTTATGGCACGGGTTTAAAATGACTTGAGGGTGCAAAATGATGATTGTGTTTGAGCAAAGTTCGTTTAATGAACAGAATGATCTGTCTCATACTATCTTTCTTTCATTTCTCTCTTACTTTCTCTTCTCTCATCACATTCCCTAACATGTTACACACTGGCTCTTGGCTTCAGCATGATCTCGTGTCTTAGTCTCATTAGCAGATGGGTTCACTTGAAGTTGACCCTCAGTGGAAGGGCTCTTGTTTTCCCTTGTGAGCAGAAGTGCTAATGAAGTGTTTACTTATGTCTACAGGTATCTGATCGGAGAGGAAGGGTACTGCCTGACGTCAATGCAGAGCGCGCTGACCTATGTTGAGTCATTGCTCTTGGGTGGGGCTCCACCCCCGGCAGCCAAACCCACCTGACGTAGGTAAAGCCAATCATATCATTTCAAGTTTATCCTCTCTGATACACACCGACTCAAAACCACGTCAACTACCTACATGCAGGCTACATAGATTACCATCCCATTCATAATTATATGAAAATATTTCTCTTTCGTTCATTCTTTCTTTCTTTCTTTCCATCTTATTTTCTTTGTCTTTTTTCTTTTTTTTTCTTTCTTTCTTTCTGTCTTTTCTTTCTGTCTTTCTTTTTGTCTTTTCTTTCTGTCTTTCTTTCTTTCTGTCTTTTCTTTGTCTTTCTTTCTCTTTCGTTGTCTTTTTCTTTCTTTCTTTCTTTCGTTCTGTCTTTCGTTCTGTCTTTGTTTCTTTTCTAACCAAACCAGCATATTAGTTAATTTCTGAATTAATATTAATATCTGAATTAATTTCTGAAGGATCATGTGACACTGAAGACTGGAGTAATGGCTGCTAAAAAAATCTATTGAAATGGAAAAGTTAATTTAAATTATAATAATATTTTACAATATTATTGTTTTAACTGTATTTGTGATCGAATAAATGCAGACTTGGTGAGCATAATGCCGAGTTCACACTGCATGATTTTCAAACTCTGGTCTATAACTCCTCCCCGAACTTCCCGCTGCCCTGTATCTTGGTCTCTCATTGGCTGTAGGTCATCGCCGATGTAGTTTTCAGTCAGAAATCATTGCACACAGCGTGATTGTGAATCGCCGACAGCTCCAGATATTTAGCTAGCCAAATATTTTGCGAGCGTCGGCGACGTGTCGGCGATTCCCTCAGATCGCGTCTTTGATAATTCACACTGCGTGATTGTCACTCGCGTGAACGAGCACCGATTTGCCTCCGATTTCGGGCATTTGTCGGCGATTTCGCAAAACCTGTCGGCGAGTGAAAAATCGGGCTAAAATCGTGCAGTGTGAACTCTGCATAAGAGACTTCTTTCAAAAAACATTTTAAAAAATCTTATTGACCCCAAATTTTTGAATGATGATGATTTATTATTGTTATTATTATTATTGCCTTAATGCATCTGTGCCCTTCAAATGTTATCTTTCAGTTGAGTAAGGACTTGGTCATATGGTGGGTCAGGAAAAGATGAACTAAACCACTAACTCTATCAGACAATGTTGTTCCGCCTCATCAAAACTCCCTGTGACACAGTTATCCCATTTTATCCAAACGTTTAACTTTGCAGAGCGCAGTGTCTGTACAGCTGTCACTTACGCTACGGCGTCCCATGTTGAAATGCGTTCCTCTTTCGTCATCCATCACTGAACAGCTTAAATGAAACGAATAGAATGGGAGGGGCTGGGCGTTACCCCTGGATCACAGCCAGATGTGTTGCTCCTACCTTGATGGATAAATTACACTGACCTTGCTGAACTTTGAACTTCACTTCTTGAAGTGAAATTTTGCTGTTTGTTTTTGCCTACAGGGTGAAGTTTCTATTTAAGGTCGCGTTACTGAAATAATGATAGTCTACGGTGGCTTAAGTTCTAATTAGATTACCCAATGGAGACTGTTAAACATGCCAAAACGTCAAACAAACTTCCAGCCTCTGCCAGAGTGATGCAGAACACTTTAATTTGCTTTTGCTTCTCTAACAGTCTCTGCTCTTAGAGTAGCTGGCTGGCTTACACGGTTCTTGTTCATCCAGTTTAATTAGAGCCGTTTGTGTTTTGGTTCTAGGTGCCTAAGCTGACGGAAAGATCTCGTCGTGTTTGAAAGTCCTCAGGAGTTGGTGTATCTCCTCTGCTCAGCCTGTTCAAGTCCCAGATCAGGCCAGACTTCAGTTCTGTTCAAATCTTCCCCACCTACTGCTTTTGAAGGGACTGGAGAAGTTTATTCGCTGTGTTTGGGCGCTGCAGGGCAGGTTCATCTGAATGTGGTTAGAAGTAAGATCAGTATTGTAGCCAAAGCAAAAAAAAAATATTTATATGAGACTGAATGGGATTAAATGAGCCAGATGTGGCAACTTTAAAGGATTTGTGGAAAGCTTAGTTAAAATGTTAATTTTTTTTTAATACAAATGTGAATGTATTCTAATCCCATTGACTTTTTATTTTTTTGGTCAAATCTATTTCTCAGAGAATTTTATCAATGGAAATGAAAGACTAAAGCACTACTAGCATTTGTCATCATGTAACACTCTATTTATTAAACAATATAAAAAGACACTAATTGAGTTTTTGTATTATTTTAGCCATTTTGAGCTTGTTGTACTGGTTAGGACATAATGGAGAAAATTTGTCAAAAGTTCTGTTATACGTTTATACTCCGAGCTGTGCATTTCTCTTGCAAGTAAATATACCACTTTGCAGACAGGCATCATGTTGTTGAGCAGTATAGGTTTTATCTATTTCTTTTTAAATATCTTAATTTGTTATTTAATTGTTTTTCGCTCTAATAGTCAAAGTAGTGAAATCAATGTGGAAAAAAAAAAAGTTTGGATGCGCAAGAAACATTAATGCTGCTGAACCGTCTGTCTTCAGTTACTGAGGTTGAGGGGATTGAATAGAAAATAGGCATAATAAAATAATTTGTATGAGCAAAAGCATTAATATATATATATATTTATGTTTTGTCTGAGCAGAATGTGTGTTTGTTTGTTGCTCAAGATCTGTAATGTGAATTGATGAATGTGAATGTAGCCTGAATCTCTTTGCTTGAGAGACAGCGGCTATGTTTTTTTTGTTGTTGTTTTTTTTTTTTACAAAACCTTCCGAAGTTCTTCATACCCGATCATTAGGATTGGATAATGCACATGAGCATGGTTTGAAAGTGCATGGCATGTGAATTTTCTAACAATAAAGACATATGTAACCCTTGTGGGTGTGTTTTTCTTTTTTCTTCATTCTTCCATGCTTTTCAATAGCTTTTAATCGACTGGTTAAAATTCGAAGGGCGGGGAAATCGCTGGGAGAAGCGATTGCTCAGAGGGAGGCTGAGTTCCCTGATGGGCAGATGGCTGGATTGTTCCGAAAGTTTCTGGGCCGAAGGAGAAAACATGCCACTCTGAATCAGGAGGCTTAACCTCTGTCCTAGAATACCCTCTGTGTGGATGTCGATTACTCTAATGGCTTCACTGTGTGACTTTGTCTATGGGTGGCCTTTTAAATCTCTTCCAGTCCACTTGTCTTGTCCCTCTACATAAATGCCCCAATTCCTGTCTGTGTTTTGGAGCTGGCACCAAAAAAATCCTGTGACAAGCCTTGGGGTTAAACCCCAAAATGCAGCCAGAGTGGTTAGGGAAAGTTTGCAAACCCTGATCTGTATGAATTTAATTTGATCTATAGAAGTGGATGATGATTAAATTGTGCAAAATTGCATATAAAAGCCAGTTGGTTGCTCATCATAAACTATTCAGTCTCACTTTTTGTGAGATTTTGCATCCCTGATAGTTTCTCTTTTTAACTGTGTTCGTAAAATTTAAATGAATTCACCCAAAAATGAAAATTGTCATTAACTTGACCTCATGTTGTTCAAAATATCAGTTTTGTGTTCCACTGAAGAAAAACAAATGCCATTTGGAATGGCATGAGAGTGAATAAAAAATAACAGTTTTCATTTTGTGGTGAACTATCCCTTCAAGTATGAGTTCTGAGTTTGAAAATATTGATGAGAAACAATGTCTTTCTGGCACTCAAAAGTGTACCGTCTCACGAAATGGGACATCATTGGTTGCCAAAGTGGATACTTTATTTTCCGTTGTTTTCAATTTTTCAATTCCCAAACTATTTTTGAAATAAGGACTCCAAGCCAGATTTTAATGAAATCCAGGCGACTGAAGTCATATCACACCCTAGGCTTTGTGGCTCAGGTCACGTTGTTTGCTACTTCAAAGAAACTAGGAGTCTGAGAGATTTTCTCTTTTTTTATTATTTTAATTTTGTCAGACACAATATAAATGCGCCCATGAATTGTTTTCACTCAGACAAGTACTAAACAGAGTAACAGAGACTATGTTTTGGTGGTGTGAACAGAATTTTTGGTCTGTACTTCAGATTTAAAGGGAAAGTTTACCCACCCTCGTGTCATTCCCAACCTATAAGGTTTTCCTTCTTCAAGAATAATATTTTTTGTTCCACAGAAGAATGTAAGTCATACATGTTTGGAATGACATGAAGGAGAAAAATGTTAAATTTTAAGCAAACTATCACTTTAATAAGCTGATGCAAAGCAAAACCACAGCCTTCTCACCTCCTTTCCTTTCGTCACTGAATCCAGATTCTTTTAATAGCAAATTTACATTCATATCGCTAAAGCGTTTATGCAAATATCATGATAACAGCAAACAAAGACAACAATGTCGTCCAGTTTGAAGGCCAGCCATTTCTAAACCCCTTGTCCCCTTCACACGCTTATTATGGGCCACACGGCTGGGAATAATTGGAGCCGTGGAAGCAACAGCTAGATAAGCTTTGCGTGAACGAGGGCAGGGAGTCACGCTACGGGGATGCAAGTGTGCCAACAACCTGCCATGTTTTTTCACTTTCTCTAACCACGGAAAAGACCAAGTTTGTTTTTACATCTGTTCTCACACGTGTCTCTCTTCTTCAATGTCAAGCTTACATATCTGGGGCTGCGTTTACAATCAGCTGCACTCCAAAGCATCTGTGCCATTCCACTGCTTATTATATTGATTTGTTTTGAGCACAATGAGTATTTCAAGGCTATGACTGTACTATGACAAAGCTGGGGATATTCAATACAGAAATGTTTTGTTGACATGCAATAAAACAATACACGCATACTAACAGGATAAAGCGAATACAGCCTTGCTTACAGATTGCCCTCCAAGATAACAGTTTTTAGGTCGGCAGGACAGCTCACGGGGAAGACGGTGTGGGACGTGTTGCGGCGCTCTATCAGCGTAGCCATGGCTTCCCCTAAATCCAAGTGGTTCAGGTACCCGGGGGCCATTCGGTCTGGGGCCGCCACACCCGTATTGATTTTCACCTGTTGGAAGATATATTAAAGACAGGCATCATAGAGGAACAAATATGAGGATATACTTTCATGACATTTAATTAAGCACATCTACAGTGAGTGTGCATATCATGGACGGAATATAACCCCATGAGCTTGAGGAGAGTTTGATGAGACACACCTGGTTGAGTTTGCATGGCGCCTCTTGATACTCTTCACGCAGAACCTGACAGAACGCCAGAGCGCTGGCTGCCCCTATGGTCAGGAACCCTGTGCCCGGCATGAGCAACTTCTCTCCAGCACCTCCTGGATAACACAGAACACATCAGCAGGGGGAATCATTTACTTTTTGTTGCCACATCTGCCTGCATAATGGTCAGTGGATTGAGAAAATTCACTGGCCATTAAATTCTATTTCAATTTTTAAATGTTTTTGCCATCTAAATCTGGTTCTTATAGAAATCTCTCTCTGAAAATATATGTATATTCATATGTATATGCATATGTATATGTGACCCTGGACCACAAAACCGGTCGCTGGGGTATATTTGTAGCAATAGCCAACAATACATTGTATGGGTCAAAATCAGCTATTTTTCTTTTATGCCAAAAATCATTAGGATATTAAGTAAAGATCATGTTCCATGAAGATATTTTGTACATTTTCTACTATAATATCAAAACTTAATTTTTGATTAGTAATATGCATTGTTAAGAACTTTACTGGACAACTTTAAAGGCGATTTTCTCAATATTTAGATTTTTTTGCACCCTCAGATTCCAGATATATATAAGAATGAAGAGTTCAAATGCAAAATACTCTAAGTGCCATTCGAAATTTTCTTCTAAAATGAGCATTTTTATCAGACTCCTGCGTGTAGGTTGAAGGTTCAGTAATTTCACTTTAATGGCATGAACATCCGACCCGTTTCACACCGTCTTCTGCTGATGATACACGGGCAACTTTTTTGAGCAATATTGCTTGGCCACTTTCCCATTGAGAATGGGTAACAAATTTATATTTGGATAATTTC